AACCATGGAGCCATATCCCCAGCCCTATTTTGTATTTTATTTAAAGACAGGGTCTCACTGAGTTGCTTAGCACCTCGATGTTGCTAAGGCTGGCTTTGAACTAGCAATCCTCCTGTTTCAGCCTACCAAACCAGTGGGATTACAGGTGTGTGCCACCATGCCCAGCGTGTAATGTCATTTTTGTAAAATATATGACTATGTATTAAATATTTATATTAAAAAACAGAAATAATAAGAAAATATTTAAAAATTATTTCTTTCCCAAAAGTATATAACTCCAGTCTAATCATAAGGAAAACATCAGACAAGTCTAAATGTAGGGGCATTTTAGGAAATACCTGACCAGTATTCCTCAACTGCCATGACCACCAGAGAAATGTGGAGAAATTGTCACAGCACCGAGATCAAGACATGATAACTACAATGTGGGATCTGGATAATTCTGGAGCAAAGGACATTTAGTGGAAAAACTAGTTAAACCCAAATGAAAGTATGAAAATTAGTTAATAGTAACGTCAATGACGGTTTCTCAGATTTCATAAATGTGCCATAGAAATGTAAAATGTTAACAACAATATTAATAGCTTTTTCCATAAATCTAAATTATTACAAAATTTAAAGTTTATTAAAAATAAAAGTAGAAGCTGATCATGGTGGTGCCTATAATCCTAACAATTTAGGAGGCTGAGACAGGAGAATCCCAAGTTCAAGGCCAGTCTGGGCAACCTGGTAAGAGCCTGTATCAAAATTTTCTTTAAAAAGTTGAAAGGGTTGAAGCTGAGCATGGTGGCACACACGCCTACAATCCCAGTGGCTCAGGAGGCTGAGGCAGGAGGATTGTGAGTTCAAAGCCAGCCTAAGCAACAATGAGGTGCTAAGCAACTCAGTGAGACCTTGTCTCTAAATAAAATACAAAAAAGGGTTGGGGATGTGGCTCAGTGGCCAAGTGTCTTTGGGTTCAATCCCTGGTACCCCAAAAAATATAAATAAATAAAATTATAAGGGTTGAGGATGTAATTCAGTGTTAGAGCGCCACTGGGTTCAATCCCCAGGACTACAAAAATAATAATAATAATAATAATAATAATAATAATAATAATAATAATAAGTAGATATCTCTGGGTGGTAGGATTATAGTTTTTTAAATTATTCATCTGTTTTTTATAATTTCCAACAAGCAACAAGTTTTATTGTCATGAGTAACAAAAAGACTTAAGTCTCAGGAGACTTAATTAACCCAAAGACACAAAGCTAAGGCAGCACAGGAATTCTGGAGTTAATACTACTTCTCTTCATTGTAAACCCCTTCCAGAAGCCTAGAACACACCCCATTAAAACATTCAACTCTCCCTGCTTGCAAATACACAAAATTTAGGGTCATCAAATTACTTCTACCTGGACTGGTTATTGGGAAGCCTATCTCCAGGGGCCCCAACTTTCGTAGCTATTGCCTAACAAATCACTCAAGTTTTTTCTAGGATTAAAATTCTGAGCCAGGCGCAGTGGCACAGGCCTGTACTCTCAGCAACTCAGGAGGCTGAAGCAGGAGGATCATAAGTTCAAAGCCAGCCTCAGCAACTCCTAAGGCCCTGTCTCAAAAAATAAAAAGGGCTGGGGATGAGGCTCAGTGGTTAAGTACCCAGTTCCAAAAACAAAAACCTATAAGAAAGAATTCGGATTTCAACTTTGTGCTAGTGCGCCTTAAAACTCAACACTCAAATTCATTATCTCTCTGTCTGAAATCCCTAAGGCCTGTTCTTTCTCCTGACTTCTCAATTCGAGGTCCCATTCTTGCTGGCTCCCCAGACATCACAACTGCAACCTCATCTCTGACTTGAGATATAGAACTGACTGCTCCCCACCTACTTTACCCCACCTACTACTATGAACCCAACTAGAGTCCCTGTCCCTCAACTGCTCCCTACAGATCCAGCATTCTCATCCTTGGTCTGACACTTAAGACGCTCATCCAGCCCTGACCCACTGGCAGTTTCACCATCCACTTGGGTCCTTTATGTATCCCAGGATGGAGGTAATTTGGATATACAGTTTCCTGACATTCAATTTGCCACACCTCCCCAAGACTTCCCTCTAGAGTACCCTCTTTTTACTGCTGCTCATTTTCATGCAATTTACATGCAACCTCTTCAGCTGAAGAATTCCCTAATATCCCCAAGGGGGCAATATTGCTCCCCCCACTTAATCCCTAAATGCCTTGTCTGAACCCCTTTTAGCACATATCAAATTCCTATTAGTTGTTTCATTTGAGAGGTGGCCTTATTCTCTCCACCAGATGATTAGTTCCTTATCAGACCAACTTATGTTTTATTTATCTTTGCATCCCTCAGAACAGAGCTTCTCAAAGAGTATGCCATGAGTTAAAGATGTCCTAGACAGCAGTGGTCTTCTCAGCCCTACAAGCAGCCACAAAGGGACAACAGAAGCCAGAACCCCTAACTGGTTAAGAATCAAGTAGTCCTCTCCTTCAGCCCAACATATGCCTTGACAACAACCTGAAAATCACTCAGAGGACACAACACAGTATATGGAGGTCAGTGAACACCCAACAAATACTTGCTGAGGTGAATCTTGGAATAATCCATCTCTTCCCCTCCCACTACATTCCCAAGATCACTTACCATTGAGACCAAACTCTTATTAACACTTTTACTGACCATGCTGTATTTATCTTTCTAATAATTCCCTATCCATTCGCTGATTATTCCTGCCTTACCACCCCACCAAGACCATACCAATAGTTTACCACATAATATAGCAAAGGATATGAATAAACAAGACTCAAATTAGTTAAATTCAACATTATGGATCGATTAAATACAAGTACCATTTTACACTATTAGCAAAAAAACTTGGGGGGAAAAAAATGGACTTCTACCCATCATAGTAAAATAGGTATACTTACATGTCTGCTAGGACTACACATTGGTATAACACCCTTGAAAACAGTATGACAATATACATCAAAAGCCATAAAAACATTCATATCCTTTAAGATAATAATACAACCCAAAATTTATCCTAGAGATATAGTCAGAAAAAAAACAGTAATATCTAAAATAAGGTACATTAAAGTATTAACTGAAAACTATCCAGCAACATAAATAACTACATAAAAAATTTAGGTAAATTATGGGAGCATGATTTGATAAGATTATTTCTGCAACCTTTCCACATAAATTAAACTCTGAAACCTATTACATAGAAATGATTCATAATCTAATAAGTTTTTAAAATATCAAATTATTATATACTATAAATAAAAATGAATTAAAGGTATGTAATTTTAAAATGGAATGCCAGGAAGGAAACCAACTGTGGACAATTTATTTAATATCAACATATTTAACATTAAGAAAGTTCAGCAGGGGCTAGAGATGTAACTCAGTGTTTGTTTAGTATGCACGAGGCACTGAGTTCAATCCCCATCAGTGCCCCAAAAAAAGGGGAAAAAAAAAGAGAGGTCCAAATTTTAGCATACTTAGGAAACAGAGAGCCACCAGGCCTCTAGAAGAGACCAACCCGCCCCTTCCACTGCTCACTCTGGCCTTTCACGCTCCCCTTGGTCATGATGACCCCAGACCTCAGCAGCTAGTAGTTTCAAGGTCCTTGAAACTCTTACCAGCCAGAGTTCAAAAGGCAAGATGGCAAGTTATTTTCCTAAGAGCTGAAGCTTTCTGAAGATAGCAATGTCTAACAAAAGACTAGTGTTGAAAAGACAACAAGAAATAAAGTTGGGGCTTGGAGTGTAGCTCAGTGATACAGTGCCCCAGCCTCGAATAAAGGAAGCCCTGGGTTCCATCCCCAGTGCCAAAAGAAAGGAAAAAACATAGCACTGATGCCTCACAAGGATAACATGGAAAGGCTTCTATTTTTTTTTGCAGTGTTACCATTTTATATTTTTAATACTGAAAGACTAAGATTATAATAAACCAAGAAGATTAATTAGTGTGAAATAATAAACTGTCTTTAATTACCAGGTATTTCAGGAAAAGATAAATAATTTGAAGTGTTTATAGCACAGATGGAGGCAGTGAGACCATTAATAAAAAAGTCCAACCTTCACAGAAATAAAGGCAAAAGAAACAAATTAAAAAAAAAAAAAAAAAAGTCCAACCTTTAGTTCCTAGTGATATATTCTCAGTGTTTAGGTTCTCAAAAATGTGCACATATAGTCATTCAGGACCCAAGGCTCATGACAGATAACAATAAAAACAATTAAACACTTAACCAAGTTCATCAGAGCACAGAGTGATTAGCACTCAAGAATGTTGACACAAAAGCTAAAGGACCTTTCTAGTTCCAATCACATGCAGACAGATTGAGCCCCAGTGCAGTTACTCATTCAGAACAGAAGTGGAAGATTAACCTACTGGAACTTCTCTTCCAACTGGTCTGACAAAGCAGCAGGCAGAGTCTTCAAGGCTTGTTCATCATCCAGTCAGTTAGGTCCACATCCCAGGTTATAACAGCTTCACTAAGCCCTGTATCACTCCACCCGGCTCCACCTCATCGTTTTTTTTGTTTTTTTTAATGTTTTATTTTTATTTTTTAGTTTTAGGTGGACACAATATCTTTATTTTATTTTTATGTGGTGCTGAGGATCGAACCCAGTGCCTCTCACATGCCAGGCGAGCACGTTACCACTTGAGCCACATCCCGAGCCCCTCCACCTCATCATTTTTAACCACTTTTTTTTTCCTTATTGTTTGGGGATGGAATGCAGGGGCACTCCATCCCTGAACTACATCCCCAGTCCTTTTTATTTTTTGTTTTGAGACAGGGTCTTACTAAGTTGCTGAGGTTGGCCTTGAATTTGTGATCCTCCTGCCACAGCCTCGGAAGTAGGCTGGGATTACTGTCTACACACCGCCCAGCTGGTCAGACATTCTGGACAAGATAAAGTCTCTCTTGCTCTTTTTCAGGCATTATCATGGTTTTTCTTTTTCTGTCTAAAGAATGTTCTCCTAAACCTTACTCACCTGCAGTTCACTGCACTGGGTATCACCCAAATAGCCCATCAGAGCTCTTTATAATTTCTGAAAGAGAGAGAAGGAAGCTTTTAATTATTTGGTACAAAACAACACTAGCTGCTCTATCAGTTCTGAAACATTACTGTCCACTATTCACAGCACCTGTTCTTTGGGTCTATAGTAAGCCAATCAAATGTAGCATAACCAGCCGTGGACCAGAAATCCTAAGATAACCTTCTGGAAATAAAAGCTTACTTTAACCTTGCTACTACTGAACTGCATAACCTTGGGCAAGTCAATTTCTCCAGGTCTACATTTCCTTGGATTCTGGAAAATAAGAAAGACTACTTAGAGACAGCAGAACACAGACTTTCCAGAAGGATCACCACCTCCACTACTTTATTGGTCTTATGATGTTACATTAGTTTGCTCTCATCTAAATCTAAATTTCCCCCTTTGCAAACTGTAAATAACAACTGTCTTGTCAGTTGTTACTAGAATTAAAGGAGATAATGAGTTATAAAAAGAACATAGTAAATATACTGGACAGCTTATCACAAAATTCAACAGATGGTAACTCATTACCACCAGTACTCACCCTCCCCAAGATTACATAGACTTAACTCACAAATATTTCTTTAGAAGATCAACAAATCAAAACTTTACCAGTCTGACCACAAAGTTAATTGTCTGAGTGTTAATAATTCAATTATAGTTATCTTAAACTGACAGTTTAATTATCATTACAACTTAACATCACAGTAAAGAAGAACAGAATAGTCCCTGAAAAGTATCCAACTCTTAGTTCAGTGACCCCATCTCTACAAACTTCTCACTTCACATTTACTACTACAGTATACATTCAGATATTCAGAACAGAGAGGTCTTCCAAAAGCTAAATGACACCCCAGCTCTTTACCATAGTTAGCATAAGGTAGCAGGACTAGAAGAGGGCAGATAACAAAGGCCTTTTTTTGTGAGAGTACCTTTTTTACTTTACATAATTAGGTACACTCAACTTCTTTTACCATTGCATACGTGGAGTTTTTTTGTTGGTTGTTTTTGTTTTTGTTTTTCCCTCTTTTTTGGTACTAGAGATTGAACTCATAGAGCCCTTTATCACTGAGCTACATATATTTCCAGTTCTTCTTATTTTTTATTTTGAGGCAAGGTCTCACTAAGTTGCTGACGCTGGCCTCCAACTTGCAATCCCCCTTCCTCAGCCTCACACCTGGCACAAGCATGATTTTAGCATAAACATAATTTTTAAGAGCTGGGATTACAATTCAAGGCCCTAAGTTTGATCACCACCACCACCAAAAAAAAAAATTAACTACATTAGTTACACATATTGCCTACTGACATGAATATTTCTACCATAACAAGAAATTTTTTATTTCAATTTTTTGTAGTTATAAATGAACAGCATTGGGCTGGGGATGTGGCTCAAGCAGTAGCGTGCTTGCCTGGCATGCATGCGGGCCCGGGTTCGATCCTCAGCACCACATACAAAACAAAGATGTTGTATCCGCCGATAACTAAAAAATAAATATAAAATTCTCTCTCTCTCTCTCTCTCTCTCTTAAAAAATAAAATAAAATAAATGAACAGCATGTCTTTATTTTACTTGCTTTTTTTTTTTTTTTTTTTTATGTTGCTAAGGATCAGACCCAGTGCCTCACGCACACAAGGCAAGTACTCTGCCACTGAGCCACAGCTCCAGCCCACAAGGAAAATTTTCACAAAACAAAGCAAATAGGAAAATTCAGATGTGCCATAAACACCTAAAATACAGCACAGAAATAAAAAATCATAAAGTTTATATATTCATTTTGCTTTGGATTAAAAAAATTATTAATCATCAGATACTTCAAAGAATGCATGGCATATTTTTTGACCAACCCATTCTGAAGCATGAATGTTTGTGATTTTTATTTCTGTGCTATATTTTAAGTATATTCTGGCACATCTGAATTTGACTGTTTGCTTTCTTCTGTGAAAACTTTGTTTTACCAATTTCCTGCTCTTAGAGAAATGGACCCAATACAATTTACAAAAGTAAAAAAAAAATTGGTATGACTGTTGGTTTTAGGTTGGAAAACTCTGGATTTCTTTTAGATAATTAAAAGCTTAATAAAATAATCATATGATATATATGTGTTTATATACATTATACATATACAAGCATTTACATAAATATACAAAGTCTTCATATTATAATAGTCTTTTTTTTTTTTTTTTAAAGAGAGAGAGAGAGTGAATTTTTTAATATTTATTTATTTATTTTAGTTCTTGGCGGACACAACATCTTTGTTTGTATGTGGTGCTGAGGATCGAACCTGGGCCGCACGCATACCAGGCAAGTGCGCTACCGCTTGAGCCACCTCCCCAGCCCTTATAATAGTCTTAACAAGAGGAATATTGAGGCTGGGGATGTGGCTCAAGCAGTAGCGTGCTCGCCTGGCATGCGCGGGGCGCTGGGTTCGATCCTCAACAGCACATAAAAATAAAAAACAATGATGTTGTGTCCACAGAAAGCTAAAAAATAAATATTAAAAAGTTCTCTCTCTCTTTAAAAAAAAAAAAACAGGAATATTAACTCTATTAGGTTCAGGATGACTTAAAACATTATCCCAGCCACCCTGGAAGTGATAAGGCAATCATGTTTTATGCTTCTTGCAGTCAATGCCACAGAAGTAACCCTGACACAGCCATGAATTGAAATGAATCATAAGCTAGTCTGGCCATACTCTCCATCCATGAGATTTCTAGAAAATATTTCAAAATATTACTTAGAAATCTAATTACACTTGTAAATACATTTACCTAAGTTTATGAAAATAAGCAATCCTAATAATTTGTTATAAGCAGTTCTTCCCACTCTTGAGGAATTTTTGTTGAAAAACTTGGCCCAATTTTTTCTATATTTTTGGAACAGGCAAAGGACCTTATTTCTTATACTGGGCCTGTATTTGGATCTTAAATATAGTCTGATGGACAATCATGGACTAATCTGCATTCAATATTAATGCCAACCCTATTTCTTAAACAGAGAACACAGATGCATTTATAAGATCTGGTCTACTTACTTGTGGGTCCCTCTGCACTATTCTTAGCCTTTCATGAATATTCTGTAAATTTTTAAATTACACAAGGCTCTTTGCAAGGAGAAATGATTTCTCCTGTTGTTGTGGTATCATTCCCTCTCCAATAAAGACTAGACAGTTCATGAATGTATACAGATATTAAGACCAGATAAACTGAATATTTATGCTAATAGAAAATGAAATTTCTTGCTAATAATTGCTAAATTAAAGTTTGCCAGCTGATGAAGAAGTTCAGGACTGTACTTACTGACTCTCAAAAAATACAGCCTTACCTAAAAATAGTGTCCTAGCTTACCAGCCAAAAGGAGAGACTAAAAAAGATATGTCTTTATTCAGCTCAAAGACACAGACTTGTACTCCATTATAACCTTCAATACTATGGTATTTCCCATTTTAGAATACTCCGTGTAACAAGTTGTTTGGTGGCCAAACATTAACTTCACTTTGAAGTGAATACCCCCCCAGTCTTCATGTGTGAAGGCTATGGAAATATCCTGATACAGTTCAACACTAGCCATACAAGATTACCAAATACTAAATATTCAGCTTCAGACTACAAAGGAACATCTCTATAGGCAAAAGGCAGATCATTGGTTCCTTTCCACAGAATAATCTGTAAATTTCAAAAAAATGAGATGAAAAGTTCAAATTGGGAAGTCTAAGGCATGAATATGCTTCTACCTGTAAACTGAAAATAAATTCAAAAATCCACATTTGCTCTGCCAAGAATAAGAATTAAAATTATATATAATACACATAAGCACTGCTGAGTTTCAAACCCAAATTAATGTGGCATGTGCACTTAAAAAACAATCTTGGTCTGTGTCCACCTTTCTTTCCCAAGGTTGCATGAGTGGGTGCACACGTATGTGTAAGGCAAAATGTCAATTATACATCTCAATCTAGAAAAATAAAGTAAAACACAGCCTATTCTTCTTCATTAGATATTATAATAGGTATGAAAAGTTCATAAGAGGCTTTCAAGGTCCAGATGCCCAGATGTGTTAATGGATGAGACAAAGCCCTGCAATAACCAATTAATTAACCAAAATTACTTACATTTTTCTGAACCAAATATAATAAGATATTTCTCAAGGTGAGAAAACTGATTGTGAAAAATGTAAACTCTCCCTCTCCATAGCAATGAATGTAAGCTGTTCACTCATGCTATATTAATGTCCTTTAATTTCAAAGCATGATAAGTTAAAATAAAATAAAATATTACAAATTCATACACCATATATGACCAGAAAATAATAACTAGTCTTATCCCTAATAAGTTGGGTGGGATTCACTTTCATATCATTTTCATTTCCAAATAATTATTAGAGACAAGTACTATTCCATTTTTCAGAAATTAAAACCAAGGGCTTGGGGATACAGTTTAATGATAGAGCACCTGAATACCATGTGTGAGGCTGTGGGTTCCATCCCCAATACCACAAGAAAATAAAATAAGTGACTGGCTTGCCTAAAATAATCATTTCCAATGGAATGGGTATACTTTACAAAAGTCCCAAAAACTGTGGAAATGCAAGTCCCTTATACATAATCACTTACACTCAACGTACAGTAAACAATGGACATCAAAACAAGCAAAATTAAGACATCCAATTAAAGTTACACAAAGAAATTTGAAGAGGCAAACTATAATTACCCCTGGAGAAGACACTGATCAAGGATAGCTGCAAATAACATTTGGCTCTGGATAAACTCTACTATGTTTGAGTATGTTGGAGTCCTGGAAAAGATTGATATTTGACACATTTTTCCTTTCTAAATCTAGCCCTGCTCATACCCCATTTGACTGAGTGACATATTTGGAAAATAAAGATGGCCCCATCAAATTACTTAAGTTTCAGCCTTACTTTTATAAGTTGATTAAAATACAGAAGGAAACAAGTGAAATCATGTTTAACTGTGTGGTCTCACCTTACACATCTCACCAGCACTGTAGTTCATTAGTGATCAATTACTTCATCCAATTCCTGAGGCAAATAGAAAAGTAAAATGTGTCTATACAATACCAGTAATGGACATTATCAGTGGCAAACATTTTATCAGTCTGAAGTGAAAGGGCATCTAAATTTCAAATGGAAAGTTACAAAAATGGTACAGTCTGCAGCTTTGCAAATGAATGTTTCTTTTGCCTTAAAATGAAAACATTTCCTTTTGGTAAAAAAGATAAAAGAATAGATTATAAAATGCTCTAAAAATCAAAAACATAAGAAAGTTCATCTTTTGTCAGCACTGACTGATCTTAGTTTCAAAAAAATTTTTTGAAAGAATTAAAAAGAAGAAACCTCATTAATATGAGTTTAAGTGAGGGCAGAATTAAGTACAAACTAGCCAAGATAACTCCTTCCTCCTTCTCCCATTCCAGGAACCCACTACCTTTAGAGTTATACTTTTTATCATATTAATGATTTGCCTGAAAAGTTGTAAGGGAGAAAAGAATGGCAATTCTTGAGTCGCAAACAAAACCCAAAGATCCCAATCCAAGAAGTATCCGAAAACCTGGCTTCCAGCCCTCTCCGAAGGCAAAAAGGCCAGGGGGCAAAAAGCTCAAATAAACTGGGAGAGAGGAATCAAAGTTCCAGAAACGCTGCAGTCTTCAAAGCCCTTGCAAAGGGGACTCTTGAGGAATCTCCAGGAAGAGATCTTGTTTGTATTTTTGTTGATGCGCTTGTGGGCCAGTGAGCATTTCCGAGGAGGGGGCGGGGAAGGGGGCAAAAGTGAACCCTAGGCTCTGAGCCCTCCGCGGGGGAGGGGGCGCACCCCTGACCCACTTTTCCCGACGCCCCCCGCCCGAGACCCCCGCCCCGGCCGGGTGGAAGTCCGAGCCCCGAGGGCGGAATCGAGCGGGGCGTGGGAGGCCCGCACGCTCCCCACCCCCCGCGGCGACCCGGAGGCGCGGAGCGTGCACCAAGGCTCGGCTCCCCCTCCCGGAGTGGCCCGTGCGGGAGAGCAGCTGCCCGCAGGCCCCCGGCCCGGGAGTGCAAGGGCCCCGCCTCGGCCTGGGCCCCGGGCGCCGCGGCCCCCAGCGGAGGGGAAGGGGACAGAGGACGGGAAGAAGCTGTAAACAGCCCCAGCGTCCGGGCCTCGCCTCGAAGAGCCCCGCTTCCCAGGCCCCGCCGCGGGCCGCCCAGGACCCCGGCCCGCCCCGGGGCCGCGCCTCCCGGGGCTCGGGGCACCGGAGGGGAGTCAGGGTCCCTCCCCAGAAGGCTCGGGCGGCTCGCGGAGCGGCCCCGGCAGCAGAGAAGGGGGAAGTCAGGACTTACCTGTCATTACTTTCTACGCCATCTTGGATCCACTTGTCAACGTCCCCACAAAGCATTATGGGTAAGAAAGAGCCTTTAAAGTGACTCCCCCCCTCGGCCCCCGACTCCCGCCTCCCGCCGCCGGCGCCGCCCCCTCCGGCCGCACCTCCCGCCGGAAAGTTGCCGCGGGTGGCCCGTCGGCCCCGCGCCCGCGGCCCGGCCCCCTCCCCGCCCGCGGGAGTTTGCATTTCAAAATCAGCCCCTGGTTAAAAATGTGGCTTTGGGCTTTTCTCTTGTCTCCTGGTCCTGGCCTCCCTTCCCCCACCGTGGCCTCCACGCCGGTTCCCTTTGCCCCGCCGCCCTCCTGCCCTGGCAGACACCCCACGTCTGCATTCAATCAGCCCGAGGATTCCCTGGCGCTGGCGGCGGCGACTGCTCGCTGACTGATTTATGCGCACGCATGTGAGCGTCCCGGTCCCGGTGCTCCGAGCGCCGCGCGGGCTCCGGCCGCCGCGCTTCCCGCCCCTGGGACAGCCTCGCGGGGGTCGCCAGGGCCGCCCGCAGCCCCGCTCACCGCTCCCGCACCCGCGCGGCAGGAAGGGGCCTCCGTGCAGGCAAGCCGTGCCGGGGCCACGGGCTGCGGGAACTGGGCGGACACCGGATCCCCGGGTCAACCAGCCGTCGAAGCGCGATTGGGGGAAAACCGGAAAAAAAAAAAAAAAAACAATAAGCTAAATGCAACTTTTACCCCCTGTTTACTCTGCCTCTCGCCGTCTCTTCCTCTCGGCCGGTAATGTGATCCGCGACCCTCTAAAGAGGTAGGGACCCCTCCCCTTGGAATGTGGCTTTGGGCTCCGCGGGACCCTCCCCGTTAAGAGTCCGGGCTGTGGACTGTGACTTCCCGGCGCAGGTAACTCGGTCGCCCACTGCGGGGGCGGGGCGCGGAGGCGCGACAGGGTCCGGGGGAGGGTCCCCGGGAGGGTCTAGGAGAAGGGTGCTCCCGCAGCGGTCCACCTGCCTGGTTCCTACAGGACAGCGAACCCAGGCGGCGGGGCCAGGGGTGGAGCGCGGGCGCCGCTGTGGCTTGGGGGCGGGGAAGGGGGGGGATGCGGAGTCGCCCTGCGGCGACCCGGGGCGCTGCTAGTAGAACCCGAGCCGGCTGAAACCCGGACGATCTGCTGGGCTCACCACTCTCGCCTATTAGGGTCGCAGAGATCCCGGCATCAATCCAGTAGCCTAGGTTCCCCCAGAAACAGAGGTTTGTTCTTCAATCCATGCACATTCTCTTCCTAGAGCCTCCGGTGTCCGCTTTGCTAACTTTGGGGACCTGCTCTGGTTGCTGTTTTTCCCCCCTTTTATTTTCGCAGGAAAGTTTTGGTATACAAAAAGGTGTCCAAAAGAAATTCTCCAAGACTTTTGGACCTAGGGTGTAGCTCAGTGATAGAGTGGGTATTTAGTAAGTCTCGAGGCGCTGGATTCTATCCCCAGAACCAAAAATAAATAAAGAAAAACAAATAAAGAAATGCTCCAAGGTATCAAAGTATTCGGTACAAAATGCTGTTGAATGGCTCTGCAATTAGAAGAAATCGCGGGTACCAACGTTAACCCCGCCCCCACTGCATTCCCGTTTCGGTGCCTGGGGAGGACCTTAGGTTGGCCCTAGAGTTCTGCACTCCTCTGGATCTTACCAGAAGTCTCTTTAGGAACCTGTGTGGTTGCAGACACAAGCCCTGCCCCCAGGGAGCCAAAAACTCCACCGGGCAATTGTCTTGGCCAGAGGTGAAGAGTGAGGTGTGGACTCATTAAGGGATTGGCCCGGGGTCACTCGTGAGGGAGGGAGCAGGTGAGTCACTCCCAGCCACTGAGAACCGGCTTGCAGAGGAGGGACCTCCCCTGAGTCACTGCTTCGCTGAGCTCCTGAGAAGCTCAGAATGAGTTGAGAAACTGAAGCCTGGAGCCAAGTTTTTAAGAGTTTCAAAGCTCCTGTAGCCACTAGGGAGGGGCTAGGCAGCGCCCCGCTCCCAACCCAGACCTCTGGTCCTGCTGGAAGATGTAATGCAGCTCCAAAGTCCTCTTTCCCCCATACCCCAGTTCTCACTTATTTAGCCACTGGTATGCACTGATTTAATGATTGTCTTGTGTTTACATGGCACCTTTAAGGATGAGATCTGAGCTACCTTATAAGTAAACATTAACAAAATCAGGGCAAGGACTGGACCTCTCAAGCATGCTTCTTTGGTAATCTTCCTTTGCTTACAAAGGCCTTGACCTAAAGAAATGCTCCATTCAAGTGATCACCTGACCCATTTACTACCTTCAGTGTGTGTCCCTGCCCATCTTTGTCTAAGACCCTACCTATTACCTATGCTTCTTCCCTCTGCCACCCCACCCCTTCCCTTATAGTCCGTTAAGCCTGTGGCCAACCCAGTGACCTTAATGAAATATAAGTAGATCTTGTGACTCCTCCCCTTAAACCTACCAAAGTCTTTCCATCATGCATAGAATAAACCCAGAGCCTACAAGATCTCTCTGCAAGATGGGGCCAGGCTGACCTTCTGTCTTCCCCTGCAGTTCGCCACATGTCCTTACTGCCAGAATCCTGTTCCCCCAATCTCCTGCCTGTCATCATCTTTTCATGGTTCAGGTTTACCTTCTCAAGGAGGACCTCTGTGATCCCTTAAGTAAAGCAGGTCACTCTGCAGGATCCTGCCTCATATTAGAAAGTATCTTGCTATGTCTTTGCTGTTTATTATCTGCCCGCTAGAGTACAAGTTCCCTGAGGGCACAGTCCTCCTCTAACCTATTGCTCTCATTGCCTAGACCAGGACCTGACATCCAGAGATGCTTAGCAAATATCCGTTGAGTGAATGACCAAGCTGCTGCTAGGGCAAGCGGATGTTGGTGGACAGGGGTGCTGAAGCCTGAAGTGAACTGACTCATCTCTTCGGATCACTCTGACCATGTACAACTAGAGGTGGCCATATAGGAAAACAGGCCATTCAGCTACCATTAACTTAGGTGTATTCTGCTCCTGATCTGATGCAGTACCAGCTAATTACCCCATCATGTCCTGCTTCTCTCCCTGCTATTACCCATGACCATACCTCAGTTTTCTACTACTTAAAGAGTCCCAAAGGCTTCTCTCTCTCTCTCTCTCTCTCTCTCTCTCTCTCTCTCTCTCTCTCT